CTGATAAACTCCCTCAATTTACTCAATAATCTCTTGCTGTGCCTCTGCTTTCTCCTTTACACGATTCTTCTTCAACGTTGCAGAAGATTCTTTTTTTCCTCGTTGACTGACGAGTGTTCGGCGTTTTTATGTCTTTTTCTGCCCTCCTTCGTCTGCTCGCATGAATTCACTTTCCGTGATTTTACGCGACCGCCCGCGTGAAGATACGTGACCATTCGCAATATAAGCTTGCCGGGGGCAGCCATGTTTTTTCCAGTCAAAAAAAAATAAACCTTGCATGCAGAACATATACGCTGCCGTTTGCGATCAGGTGGGTCATTATTTTCGTTCCACTTTTCACTACAAGTACTTTGTCTGAAGATAGCGTTGAAGTAGGAAGATGACAGTCACCATACATACATTGATTCCTATGACCATACTGCCGGTAAACATTAAAGCCTCTCCAACATTGAATACTCTTTCTATATATATACTGAAAATTATACAGAATATATATATATTTTTTTGCCGATGTTATTTTTAGTGGATAACCGCATTTGAGTAAACGCCCCTTTTATTTTAAACGGTATTTATTTTGTCTACCATACTTTGTACTCGAGAAAACTTGATAAATAAAATGTACCCCAGCGGTAGGATTCGATCCTGCACACCACTTTGCTCGTGGAACTACAGTCATAGCCAACCAGCTTTTACCTTTCGTCTACGAAGAGCTTCACAGTAAAGCAAAGTACTATTTTGCACTTGAAAAGTACTCTCAATCTTTAGTTTCGTAACCGAAACGTCAATTACGGGATTTCTTTGAACTGACGAAAAAGAAATTTTCTATCGTTTATTGTGCATGTTGCTGTATTTTTCGGATGTATCTCTGCGGTAAATAATAATTCCAACAGTGTTTGTTAAAGATAACAGACAACTTACATCTATTGTATTTTACTACGTTTCACATGTTGGTAACTTATCATCCGTATCTTTGTTTTGAAGGTCTTAATTATATACTATGATGGCTATTAGATTTCGTAGCTTCTGTGATTATCAAAAATAAAAGAAATTATATGAAATTCAAGCTGTATGAGTTAATGCAAATCGTTAGAAAGATTTGAAATTTGGCTTTCGAATATTTATTTTGTCACCTGAGCTTCAAAACTCGGCAAACTTTAATCTTCGTGCCCGCAAAACATAATGCCGTGTCAAAATTACGGTTATTTCCTTGAAACCGCTATTACTGTATACACTTTTGCCTCCCTCGCTAATGTTTATTTACAAGATTATAAAAATATGTGAACTCAGTACAATGTGATATTTATTATCTACCTTTTATAAAGATATATTATTTATCATTTCATCTATATAATAAATGCGAATTTCAGTATGACAGAGTGTCATACTTTCAACTTAACTCCTAGAGGCCGTAGCCCAACATATCAAACCATTTTGTAATCAGGCCGATTCTGCGAGCAAACTAAACACATTCCGGACCTGATCTGGAATAGTAATTCGGATATTTTGGATTCGTATATTTTCATTACGGCGATTGTTTGCGACGATTTTTAAGAGAATTTTTGTGACAACATTTTTTGGGCAATAACATTTTTTATAAATTGGAAATAAATTTGGGAATAATCGAAATTAGTTACAAAATCTAGCGAAAGTCACCCATAAAAATAAAAATAATTGTTTGTACAGAAAGTTTTATATACCGTACCTATGAAAACTAATGGGTATGTCCCAATCGTCATAAATACCGTGGACGCTATTTTAACCTGCTGTATAAGTAGTCCACCACTAGCAGTGGTTTACCTACTTCACGCTGCTGGCGAGTATTGTATTTTGTTGATGTTATAAAGATTACCATTTCATTTCAAACCTATGTTTTGGCTATTCTTCATTCATTAATCTTTTCTAGGTTACAACAGAAAGTAAGGACCTACGTGCATTAAATTATCTTGAAATTAAGTGGCGGCAGAAGAATTTTTGTTGAACCTTTAAAAGGTAAGCTTAAATATTAATGCGATACTTAAATACAGCAATCAATTTTGAGTTCTTCTGAAGTTTATTGTTGCTTATCGCATCTGGCAGCAGTATGACTCGCAAAAAGAAATGTCTGTCAACAGAGGACCAGATTGCAATCTAAAGAGACAAGGTAGCAGCGAGGAAAAAAATGCCCCGTGCAAATGAAAAACAAGATCAAACGGCAGCCAGGAGAGCTTCCAAATGCTGGGGATATACAAAGACTTAGAAACTCATAAACTCCTGATCAAACCGAAGGACCAATTGGAGATCCCTCCGTAAGACCTAGCTTAAATGCAACCCGATATGGCGGCTTTTAAACTACTAAAGAAATAAATCTCAAAAAAAATATTTTTATTCATCGTTTTAAATTAGAAATTTATCAAAATAAGTAAACCACCTCCATTTTTTACTAGCCATTTTATATATAACCATGAAAACAATTTTTCTTATTTATAAACTTATAAAAATATAAATGAATAACATGATAGAAATTCCCGGAAAATCCATTTTTTTTCATGTATAATTGTAGTTATTCCCGTTATCTGTTTATTTAAATTTTCTTCTTCACAGATAATTTTATAAATTTACGAATAAAAAATCATTTTCATATTTACATCTTTATTAACAAATGATTTGCATTCCATTGCATTAGCCGGTTTCCATTTTGAAAATGTTTTCAATATAAAATTATCCTCGTAAATAAACAATCTAATAAATAAATGAATAAAAACTTTCTTTTCATATGTATTTCGTAAAAAAGTAGTAAGTGCTAAATATTGCATTGCAATAGTTTTAATTAGTTTTTTTTTATATAATGTTGTAAATTTAACATTATTCTCGTAATTAAACAATGTAAAACTAATTAGTATTTAATATATCTGTTATAAATTCTCAAAGAAAAAATAAAATGTATAAATCTACTCTCACACTTTTCGGTTTAATTAAAATTTTAATGATCGCTTTTTAAATCCACAAACATTGCTGTGGGAGTGAAAGTATTTAAAATTATACCGGCAAAAGCGTCTATTTGACGCACTGTTTTATTGCAGGTATGAAAGTCATAGATTGGTGAAAACTCAATTAATGTTACAGAAGATTCAGGCTTGACAAAATAAAATTAGAATTATAGTGAATAAGCAAATATATGGATAGAGATCCGACAGTATGAAGAAAAAATATACGGAAAAACAAACAAAAATCCTAATATGCAATTGTGCAGTTTTAATGTTAATATAATGTCAATGTCGGACGTTTCGGCCTAGTAGACCATCTTCAGGACATATTCATAAAACATAATTAACATTAGACTATATTCAAATCAACATGAAAAGATTAATGCTCGACAAACGTACATATAAGTTTTAGATTAAAATAAAATTATTTTCATTTTTCATTCATTCAAAATACTCAATTTTAGGAATACGTTTTCACATCATAGCCCACGTGACGCCCACGTGATCATATTGAAATGGAACGCTGATCTTGAAAAAATTTCAGTTATCTGTTTTGATTAGTCTTACTCTTATGTCCATCGTCTTTTCATGTTGAATTGAATATAGTCTAATGTCATTAGGTTTTATGAATATGTCCTGAAGATGGTCTACTAGACCGAAACGTCCGACGTTGACATTATATTAACGTTAAAACAGCATAATTGCATATTAGGATTTTTGTTTGTTTTTCTGTATATTTTTTCATCAATTATAGTGAATGTAATTTCAGATCCTACTATACGAGTCTGAAACGAGCCGTAATAAATAGGACTACTTAGGAACCAAATACATGAAATTGTGAAAATTTTCTCTATCCATATTTTCGTATAAGATTTTATATTGCTCTTTCTGATATCATTCTGAGCATAAATATAGCATTCTTTGTCTCAGTCTCTTTACCAAAACCGCGCTGTTCTTGTCTTACTTCTGGTCTAATTCTACTCGGCGCTCTATTCATCAGAATTTAGATGCTAAGTTACGTTATATAGCTCATTAGATTGATTGTCCGATGGAATTTGCATCCGTTTGCATTTGACTTCCCTTGCATTGCTATGAAAATGTATCTTCTGAAGTTATCTGTTATGTTACTACTGTCGTATATTATATTTATTTTACCTGTAATTTTTCAATACTGAAATAATCTAACACTGCCAGCCTTTTTATTACAATTCCATCTCGTCATATTGATTTTTCCCTAATTAATTTGGCCAATGCTAGTTTCAATTCAGATTTTAATATTTTTGGTCCTTCCTTATTTTTGTGTATTGCGGTTACTCCTCTTCCGATCTGTTACATTCTTCGAGTATTTTTCTTTCTTTATTATCAGCTTTCCCTCTTTTGTTTTCATGCACCATTTTGATGCTCACATCTTTCGTCCTGTTACTGCACTTAATTTATATATATATATATATATATATATATATATATATATATATATATATATCTGCCGTATAGGTGAAGTTCATTTTTTCGCTTTCTGCACACTTTGGGCCATTCTTGTGTTATTTTTTTTTCCCTTGCCTTTTTCATTTTCTTTTCCAAGAAAAATGATGAACAATAACTTCTCAACACAAAATATATAATGTACAAATGATCTATTCCAGGTTGCTTTTTCTCTAACTAGCGAAAATAAAAACCCCAAGCTCGGGTGGGGTCGTATGTTTGCTGCGCAACTGAGCGCCTGAATACTACCCCCACCCATTGCGTCTCGTTTCTTTACCTATGTCTTTGTTCTTAGTTTAGCGGCATATCAATCTCTATGGGTTATTTAATGCCGAAATCTAAATATTTGTATACATTTTTTTCTTTCGATTATAATGGTCTGTAGGGATACAAATTTTACTAATTAACCCATAGATGGGGGAGAAAAGGTGGACTCATACATTTACCAAGTGTATTTACATGTAAGTGAGTATAATGAACCCAGCTGGAATTGGAACAGGGCTCGCCGATTAACAGTTCCCAGCCATTATCCACTACACCACACGTACATCCAAGCTTACAGCGCCTGTTATTCGCAATCAGTTATCCCTCTAAGTACTTACCAAGCTCGACGTTGCTTAACTTCAGTGATCGTACGGGAGCAGGTGTTTCAACGTTATGTGGCCGTAAGCCTTTCCAGTGCGTGACTTGTAAGTTAAAGAGGTATCCATCCGCGCATAGCGTGTCTTGAGTAACTAGCCCTGGTATGACCTTTCCCTCTCCAGGCCAAACCACCGCCAATATTCATCCCGATTACGGTATATGACCGCTGAGACTACAAGAGAAACACGCCGCCATAACCGTCGATTTCAGTCAAAGAAGACCTCTGTCCAACGATACTGTGTCATCATCGACCCGTATATACTATTAATAGTACAGTCTTAGGTGTAGATTTAACTTTCCACCTTTGCTTACCGTCTTTAGGTTAAGCTTACCACTGGTGAGATCGTTGGGAATTACTGCACATGGATTAAAAAATATATTATATTTCAAAACACATTTTTAGCAGATCATAAAATATATTGATTTCAGAATGTGCATATGGTATACAAGATCGTGGATAGGAAGGTGACATCGAATAACCAAATTCAAGTTTGTTATAGTCACTTAGACACAAATACCCTTGTGAAGGATATGACTTTTCTTAACTATGCTGTAGCTAAGTAGAAGTTTGGCAAGCGGTCAAGTAAAATGCCAACTCCGAATTCAAATAGTATGTGACATGGACATAATCCTAAGTTACCCCTTTCGAAGGTAGAGCACCGGGAAGCCACCTATGCCAGGGTCATGGTGAAGACATCGGATATCAAAATATGTTGCTATTAGTCAATAACAGAATCTAACGGACCAGATTTTCTGGCATTGAACTGCAAAGGTGTCATTCAAAAGATCCTTCATTTTGGACAATGGAGCCTAACTACTCCGAGGCTGATAGAGACTGCGGCATGTACCTCTTAATATATGGACAAACAAAGACCTTTTGATAGCATGAAGATTTTTTGATCTAAGCATTTCACACCAATCAAAGCCGGAGAGCCACTAGCACGCAAGGGGTTACAGAGGGTGAAAACAAGAGTAAAGAGGGGGGTGTTTGAGGAAAGGATATAGAGAAGAATGGGGATCAAGATCGAAACATCAGAAGATGTCGATTGACATTACATTTGAATATTTGAAGATTATAGCCATCAGGGAAGCAAGTAAGAGGAAGGGAGTTCCCCTGTCGGGAAGTGCTAGAGAAGAAGCTGTTGGAGTAGAAGAGACGGTTACATTTAACCGTTTCGACAGTGAAAGGGTGGGACCGAGATTGCCAACCTAGTAGCACGCTTAAATCCATGCAGTTTGGGTACCAATGAAAGTAGCTGGTCAGCGCTGTTGCCATGAAAATATTTGTAGAAAAGACAGAGGGAAGCCACAGCACATCTGTGAGAAAGTGACTGCAGACGACATGCCAGATCAGAAACCTATCACATTGCATATCCGTCTCTGGATTTAAATGTTCAAATATACTCTGTTCTTGTGATTAGCGACTCTTCTGATGTCTACGAATATTTTTTTCTATTAGATCGCAAAAGCTATAACGTAATATTTCGTATGACGAGACATTATTTGACAATTATTTGCTGTATCGAACGTGTTTTTGAATTACAGTTATAAAGTTTTCGATATGCGTCTCGCATCAAACAAAATGAGAAGTTTGTAGCATTGTAATGCTCCTAAATATGTCTTTCATGTTAAGCTCTGGCTTTTCAACAAATAAATTTTTATATTCTTTTCCGAATATTATTGTTATTTCCATCGATTATTGAATTTCACTGAATTTTGACTACATTTACAACTTGACGAGTTCATCAAACGAATAAGCGATATCGGAATTTGTTCCGTAAACGCTTTTAAATGATATTACAAAAGAACTTCGAATATTGAAATAAACACAACAAAGACACAAGTTTCGCATTCAAAGAATTCCCAGGAGCCGAGATAAACTAATAAAACCTAAATATATAAAAGAACCATTTTAGACATTAATGTATGTTATTTCTCTTGCACTTTGAACCTATTGACTTTTCTTTATTGCAAATTATTAGCTGTTCGGAAAAGAATGTCATATTTTAGAATTAAACTTTTACTTTTGTTCTAATAATTTATTACAATCCTATTAGTCCCACTCTTGATGACATGGAGATTTTTTGATTGAAGCATTTTACACCAAGCAAGGCGGGAGAGCCACTAACACGCAAGGGTGAAAGCAAGAGTAAAGAGGGGTGTTTGAGGAAAGGATATAGAGAAGGACGGCAATCAAGATCGAAGCATCAGAAGATGTCAATTGACATTACATTTAAATATTTGAAGATTATAGCTCCTAGTTCCTTAGTTAGCACGATCGTTACGTTCTGCCAATACTTCTTAAATAATGGAGTGGTCCGTTTTGATCGCAAGGAAAGACAGAAAAGACATATCAGTAACGGTGTAAAAGAGTTTTCAGTGACGTTACTTGGTGTCTAAGAGAAAAAGAAAGAATGAAAAAAGCGACGATATATGTGTTTAACGTCTTTTAAAAAAGGAGAAGATTTGTCAATTTCAATTTTTTTTATTTGTACCCCCTTACTTCTTAAAAAACGACCAGCATTCATATTTATGATTCTCATTGCTATATTTTTTAAGTTGTTAAGGTCAAATATTTACCGGTGCGATAGGGGAATTATTACGATTATTTTATTTTCTTAGAACTCGTCGTGAGCTTATTCACTCGTCAACGGAAGAATTAAAATTAATGAGAAAATTCTAATTGTAAAACCGTATTATTATAATAGTTCCACAAGTACCCATTCTTAAAGAGTAATGAATCGGCTTTCTTAATTTTATATCAAGCTCTTTCAGAACTTAACTTTAAAACTGTATACCCATCATTAAAAAAGATGCGTTTACTTACTTTGCCTGAGTACAAGCTTAGTCATTATACTTTTTAAAATGCTACCAAAATTAACTGAGAGTGAGGTGAAGGATCCACTTCTGATTGGATAGTACGGCAATGATTTCTGAATTTCCGCAGTTGGGATACGAGTCTTCAAAAAGTATATGTGGTAAAGGATGCCCATCTCCCTGTGACAATGAACATCCGAAAACACAAATCAGACAAAATCCATGCCAATGTGTCATAGAAATGTCTCAGATAATGGATATCAGCATTTCAGTAATATCGGATCATCTCAAGAAAATCGGCAATTTGTATAAACTAGATAAATTGCTCAAAATGATGTTTTGAAGTCTGTTCGATGTTGCATCTGCGAAATTGCAAAGATAAATTTCTTGACTGAATAGTATCTTGTTATCCGAAATTGGTATTTTATTTATTGTTCGGCTCAATGGCTTCATCGTGACGCAGTAGCGCAACAATTTCCAAAACTTAAAATGTTCCAAAAGAAGGTTGTGGTGTATGTCTGGTGGTCAGCCATTGGAATTTTCTATTACGGTTTCCTGGGATCTAACTAGAGCGTCACCGCTGAATTTTACTCTCAGCAACTAGATTAAATGCACACCCAGTTAAGCAAATTGCAACCGGCACTGGCTAATAGACAAGATCCAATTCTGCTTCTTGAAAAATGTTCGGCCCCATGTTGCCCGGATGACACTACAGAACCTCACCTGATCTTTCACTTACTGACTACCTCTTTTCCAAGCATCTTGACAGTATTTTAGACAAAAAGACACTCCGTTGCAAGGAGGAAACAAAAACTACAATCAATTGGAGTCCAAAGTTTTAGCGTTTTTATCATAAAAGCATAAATAACCTTGTAACTCGATGGCAGAAATGTGTAGATAGCCGGATTCTATTTTGACTGATTTAAACAAGGTTTAAATACATTAATTCAGGATTAAAAGTTGATCCCAAAATTGTACATTATCTTTTGAACAAATTAATGTCTTCAGATTGATAACCTTTATAATTCCTGTATATAATTTGTATCCATTAAAAAGAAGATGTATATATGTGTGTGTGTTTCTGTCTGTGTGTAACTTTGTATATGTATGTTGTTACAAATTTACTAAAGTAGGTCAAGACGAGCATTTCAAATCTCCAGGCACCCCGGGTTTGGCAGGAAAATCGATAAAAAAAAAATGAAAGTGGGTACGACTTTTTGTGAAAGCCAAGGCAAAGTTTCACGCGAACAAATTTTTTACTGGATGAGCTGATGTTCTTTGCACTTAATGCAAAACATCAGCTCATATTACGAGATTTATGTAGAATGATTGATAGCTTTTCATGCGATATTGGCTTCATATAAAAAATTGAAAAAAACTGTGGAAAGAATCGAGTATTTCGTACTACTTAAAATAAAAACTGGAATACCTTCTTCATTTTTATCCAATTTTCTTCAAACATGTCGCAGAAAATTTGCCATTGCGCAAGAATTAATTCTTAGTCCTGTTCGTTTCCCCGCGTATAACGAAAAGCTGTTCAAAAAAACTTTTCCGAATTTGACATCTAAATTACATATGGCTCACAAATTGTCTTGCGTGAATGTTTGGTTTACATTATTTCAGTTAAATGGATTAAATTTGTGACAAACCAGGTCCAAAATCGGCTTTTGCCATTTAGCCAATAGTTTCTTCATATGATTCCATCCTAAATTAGCATTCGAACAACATTTGATGCAAAGTTTCTTTGAGAAGTATTACTGAATCGTTAAAAGGGAAAATTTCCCAAAGAACCTCTTATTAACCCCAGTTTTACAGTAAATGTGCTCAGAAGGAAGAGGGTGTTCATGTCTTTGCACTCAGTTAAATCAAGCTCTGACAATTCATCCCGGTTTAGTTTCATTATTACATTTGTTGACAATGCCATACTATTTGCAAGTTATTACGGTCATAGAAAATTTACTGAATATCTAAAACATTGAAACAATTTAACCCAAGTAATGATCACACAAGAAATTTTTATCAATAGAATTCATTTATGAAGAGCAATCAAATACTTGCAAAGGCCATACACTAAAAAGATGAGTGGGGGAGTAGTTTAGTATACCAACAAATGATGCATGCAGGTAGACATTTCTAGACCAGGGGTGCGAGTATAGGGTCGGGTGCGATTATACAATTGCAACCATATACACCCGGGCAACATCGGGTG